CACTTTTTATTGTAAATTAAGTCATTTTCTTGAACTCTGGTGTTTAACCAAGTTGATATTTCTTTGTGTGGATTTTTGGAATTATACCATTCAGTAATGGCATTATTGACAAAAGAGATACTTCTTTCTGTATATTTGGGAGGAGAATGTGTCCAAACTTGCAATTACAAATGGTCTTGGGCATTGAGTAGTAAATCATTAGTTTGGGCAACTTTGTATGGCCCTGTTCTGAAGACTGATATCAAATAGTATATTTGCATTGGCAAAGTAAAGTGTGTTTAAATTTTCTATGGAACTTAGAATCTGTGTGACTTGTGAATGATTAAAAGATGTCATCTCAAGATTTAGCCATTTAAATGCTGCTACTCTGAATCTGCTCCCTACTGTCATTGCTGAATCCCTGCCTCATCTTTAGTTTAATGTCACTCTTCCCCATTTCTTAATGTTTCTGTAGCTCATCTCAGGTAGAACAGAAAGCTAATTAAAGCTGGGATTGCATCTGTGGTGGCACTGCAGCCCAGTAAAGCTTGACTTCCATTTTTTCCTGGTCATCCTTTTCCTCTCTGCACTGTCTCCTGTGCTGTGCCAGCACATGTTGAACCCAGCCAGGGAAGTGATTCAGCTGGGGAAGGAAAATCCTGCCAAAAAGACCAACTGCCAGCATAAACCCATGTGGTCTTGGGTGGCTTGGCTGGCATGGGAACAAACAGCTGGGGGAGAAAAGGTAGGAGTTGTGAAAGTTTGTTCTGCTGATAAAGTTATAATGAAACCACAGCCTAAAAATTAAGGTTTTGCCTAAAAATAAGTGATACGTAAATGGGATGCACACAACAAAAGAGCCAACAACCACCATCAGGTTCTCTTTTTTCAGATTTCTGTGTTGATTTAGCCCAGGTCAGGTCCTTACTAAGATAAATTAAATCAAAGCATACTCATACGAATGATGCTGATGAGGCTCAGGCAAACTACTTGATTGCTGAAGTTCCATGCAATGAGGTTTTTCTGATGCAGCTTTTGTGAGCCAGGTTTGCAGGTTGCAGCCTCTCTGTGGAGCATTAGAAGGTGGTACTTGAACTGCAGGTGTTGGTCACTGGTGCCCTTTGTGCAGCCCCTGCGGACCAGGACCAGCCCCTTGACCCACACCAGAAGTTTCTATGTGCATACTGCTCCACTGACTCAGCTTTGGGTCTGTCAGGGCAAATGAGGAAGACAAGGATTCCTTGTGGATCAGGTATTCTACTTGGTTTTCCCTTTGTTTTTCTCTAGGCTAGAGCCAATCTTGCAGCTCTGCAGTTGTTGTGTGTGTATCATTGTGTGGCCTGTACAGTGGTCAATTAGAGCAGATCAGGGGAGAGCATCCTCAGAGTCTCTGTAAGGACAGAATGCAGTGCAGATCTTGCTGCTGCTGGGACAGTTCCTGAGCACTCTGCCCTTCCCCTTCCTCCCTCCTGCGCTGGTGCTGCCACCTCAGATCCCTGCAGCCAATTTCGTGCAGGAGCTCACGAGCAGAGCCTGGCAAGGGCACAGAGCTCCTGCTGTGTGAGGAGTGGGTGGGCGCGGTAGAGGAAGCAGGACAGCATGGCTGGCAGCAGAGGCAGGGAAAGGGCTGAATCCTGTCTTTCATCTGTCAGAACAGCCTGTGTGACTTCACTCAGTGCCACAGGTGGTGCAGATAAGGAGCGTTGCCTGTGGCACCAGCACTGTGCACGTCACACCTTCACTGCTCTGTGTGTGTCAGCTCGGGGCTCTCACCTCAGTGAAACCAAACCCAAGCCAAGCTGCAGCATAGCTCAGAGCTTGTGCATAGCTCAGAATTCAAAAAGGAAATATTACTTTCCCTTTAGCTTGCAGACCCACTGCTTAAGGGCATTTGCTAAAAGGAAGGAGGAGCCTGATGCTTGCACTGGGTGTTTTTGGTGATTGATTTTTATGGTGAATTGTGAACCTGTAGTTTAAGTGTAACTTATGAAACTCAGAAATAAGCATTTGCAATGAGCACTGAAGTACAGACATGTGATGCTTTGGTTAGGTGGCTTTGTCACAGTGCTCCAAAGGTGGCTTTTTAGGGAAGCATGTTGTGATTTGCCATCATGCTGCTCTCACCTGCCTCTCTTCCATCGCACATACAAGAAAAAATAAGCTATGTTAAACTTTATTATTTTCAAGCCCCATCACACCCAGCAGTTTTCCATTGTCTTATATTCTGTTGGCTTCCTACAAGAGGTTCTCAAGCTGCAGTCTGCAAAAATACATTTCTCTACAGCTTCTTACTGAACGACTTCTTTTTGGCTGAGGAGTTTGAGTGTGTGTGGCAGCCGGTGTGGAAGCAGCCAGTTTGCACGGGATCACTTTAAATACAGGCTTTAGGAAGCAATCCCATCCAGGTCATGCTCCCTCTCAGCCCTCTGGCATGGAGGTAAGTGCTGACAAGGGTGATACTTTCATTCACAGTGGTGTCTGGTAGAGGAAAAAGCTTTAGTTCAAAATGCATATGCAGAATTTTAACTCTTAAGAATCACCTTCCTCAAAGATCAGGAAATAATCAGTTTGCTTCCCTTATATAAGGAAAATCACCTCAAAATTTCTTAAATTATAAAGGGAAAGAGAATTGACCTTAGTGTACATTTCTGAATATTTTTCCTTGCTTTTATAGCTATTTCACACATGCTTTTCTGTCCATAGAAAGTTTGTGTAATGCTCCATATTCTGTGTGGAAAGAGGTCTGAGCCTAAAAGAGAATAAAGGCAATGGCAATGACTCTCTGAGCCGTACTTGGGCTCCCAGGATGCTCATGCCTGTGTCAGATGAGATAAAGTGAAGGGAGACTGCATGAAACCCATCAGAGCTGTTAAACTGTAACAGTGCAAAGCTGCTGGTATTTTAAATAATGGTTAAAATAAATTTCTGTCGGTTAGTGCTGGACTATTTGAAATTCCCCTAGGTTTAAATAAAAAGGAAGAAGGAATTTTAACCAACTCATTTGATAGAAAAATGACCTGCAGATGGGGTTTGAGAGAATAATAGGCAGCAGATTACAGTGGGGAAATCATGGCAGAGCATCAGACTTTGATGGGTTTATGCAGAGTGGGCAGAAGGGAGTTGGGAAGAATTCCCACTGCAAACCAGCACAGCACTCATTTTATTTCCACTGCCTGTAGCTCTTCATAGCAGCATCAAGTTTATGAAGTCATATATGCTGAAAAGTTTTAAAATATCAGAAGTGCTATGTGATATGCAAATATCAGTGGGTTTTCTCATGTTTATGTGCCTATTTTCAAGTCATATGTAGAAAACCTCATGTTTCTTCCAGTCTTGACCTGCTGTGATCAAGGGCAAATACCCCTTCCCTAGTTCCCAATGTCCTGAAATGTATTTAGTAAATATTAAATTTTATCAACACTTAATATGCTGAAGATATAAACATAGTTGTTTTTTTTTCCTTCAAACCATCTGCAAAATTAGAAGGATTTTACAAAGAAGGGAAACATTTTACCCCTGCCAAAATTCAGCTCTAAAGTGAATTTCTAAGTGGGAAAGTTCTTATTTATGTACACAGAGTAGTACTGGAATATTGTTCTTTCCTCTGCCTTACTCCTGGGACAACCTAAAATACACTTGGTGCAAGTTAACAACAAAAAAATTAAGATTGCTGTGGCAGACTACAAAAATTTAAATATTCTCATGAATGATGCCTGCTGGGATTTTTTTGTTAAATAATGGAAGCCAACATTTTTAAGACAATTCACAGCATTTATGAGCACGTTTGTGATCTGAAAAGATATACTGTAGAATTCCTGTGTGGGATTCTGCTGTGCAGGGATGCAATAGCATGGAATGTTTCATGTGTGCCTCCTGTGGGATTTTTCCTTTTGCCTTTTTTTTTTTTTTTTTTTTTTTTTTTTTTTTTTTTGGTTTTTTTTTTTTTTTTTTTTTTATAATATAGTTTTGGGTATTTGAGATGCTTACCAGAGATTACAAGTGGGGTGTTCCTCAAAAATGTTAATAGAATGCTTTTTGTGGCAGCAAATAAGCAATGTCCATGGCTGGACTGACCAAACCTTCGGAGCAGATCCAGAGAGGAGCAGGGCCTGCCATGGGTGTGGTTTGCAGCAGTTTTTAATCCAATATTCTCCTCAAGGGGGACTGTGCTTTCAGTGACCTTACCTGACCTCAGCTGGGCTTCGCTGAGTGCTCCTTTAGTAAAGAAATGGTGCCAGGAGCTGTTTCTTGCTGTGCCTCCTGTGTCCAGTGTCCACCTACAGCCTGGTGGTGGTGATAAGGTGAGAAAAGCAACTTTACCTGTAACAGCAGCTCCAAAGTGCTTCAGTGGACCCTGAGGGGAGCCTGACCTGGGTGCTAGATCACAGTGCTGCTCCAGTGTTTCAGGAATGTTTTGTACTTTTGGAAGTGAGTGATAAAGGTCCCAGTTGGCTTTTAATATTGGAAAAGTTCGGTTTCAGGTATTACTCCTACAACATTAAAAATGTTTGATGACCAGTAATTCTTTTTCAGCTTCCTTTACCAGTACCCACTGCCCAGTCCTTTGCAACCTGTTTCACTGCCTTTATTTCTATTCTTTCAGTATATTCATACAATTAGAATACAGGGGCTCATTAGTGTCTGCCTCTAGCACTGGTGCCCCTTTCTAGATGAGCTAGAATGTTACAAACTGTGATGAAATGCTCATTTGAAGGGGAAATAAAGCACACTGAAATTATTTCAGCTCTGTAAAGCATGAAGGCACAGAAAAATAAGCTGATTTCTACTACAAATCTTACAGTTTGTTCCCTATTTCATATCTTTTAATAATGCTTGAACGGTTCTGCTTGCAAACATGTAGAATCACAGTGAAATTTCTTTCATTTCCTATGTTCTTTTCCTAAATAAATTTTCTCTACCTTCAAACACGCCTCTTTGTTCTCACTGTTCTAGAATTCTTTCATCTTCTTTTCAAAAGCTTCTGAATATGACACACAGCCTCACTTGAAAAGAATGCAGAAGAGGAATGCAGGGTGGGGAGCTGGAGGTATGGAGCAGCATCCACTCAGCACGAATACACACAACAGGACACTTCCACTGCAAGGCAGGCTCAGGGGGCCTGTAAAAGAAATCACAAATCATTATGGCATAGGAAAAATAAGTAGAGGTGATAAAGGAACTAAGTTTCTTATCTGTTTTCTTTTTTGTTTTCTGACAAGAACCTGGCAGCTCAAAACAAACGCACAAAGCTGAGAAGCTGTGGAATGTCCTTCCACAGGATGTTGTGGATATGGGATTGTAAATGGGTTCAAAAGGTAATTGGATGAATTTATGAAGGAAAATTCCATGCAAGAATATCAAGTACAGAGACCCCAGTTCTTCCACAGAAGGCTCTAAGCTGCTGATGGAGGTGGGAGTGAGTTTGGGGAAGGTGGTGCTGTTGGTGCCACAGTGCTCTGGGCTGCTGCCAGGAGCAGCCTAATGGACATGCTGGATCTGGTATCCTGTAACCACTTTTGTCCTCTCTGGGGCTCTCCTTGGGGTATTTATGATCCTTCTGATCTTCTCAACATCTTCACTATTTGGCAGCTTTGCTAAATCTGCAGTTTGTTACCTTTGTTGTTTCAAATATCAGCAGCTGAATTGTATCTTCCCTTCTAGTCCATAATTTATCCTGCACAGATGGAGCACTCCTGCAGTCCATGGCAGTCGATTCCTCTGTCCTTAAATTTGTGTTTAGGATTAAAATGTTTGAAAAAGTAACTTGCTACTTCAGCCTTTCCAATTTGGAATTTTATTCTGGACTAACATATAAAATCATTTTCCAGAGGAGCATTTAAGAGATTCCTCTGTAGCTTTGGTAACTGTGTTGTTGAAGTATAACACTCTCTGAGGTCACTTCACCCTGGGCAGTTGCTTTAACACTGAACCGTGTTTCTTTGGCCCTGTGGTCTATACCAACCTGGAAAATGGTTCCTGTTCACCAGCAGTTCCTACTTGTGATCCAAGATTCACCCCTTACTGCTGATACCTGTTTTTTCTTTCTGTGTATTCCCAGTTAACCATTTGTCAGCTGTGAATGTTCTCCCGTGTCACCATTTGCTTTACTCTTCTGATAGTCCTTTACCCTCTTTTGATTTTGCCTCCTTTTTCTTTAACTTCAGGATTCAAACAACCACTTTTTTGTGGCAAGTGAATTTAGAATTAAAGCTTCTCAGGGTCTCCCTTTACATAACAACACTTGCCAATGCAAGTGCATAGCTCTTACATTGCTCTTGATACTAAATTTCAGTTTGGTTTTGTTTTTTTTTTTTTTAATTAAATGCTCTTGGAGAAGTGAGGCTGCAGCAAGCTCTATGTGTCTAATGACAAGCCAGAACGGGAGTAATACTTGCTGTGTATTGTCCTCTGTCCTTGCCTGTTTCCGATTGCTCAGCACCAATTGTTTCCAGCTGCAGCTGTTTTCCACAGCTGCAAAAACCACTAATGCCCAACCTGTCTCTAGCAAGAGAGAGTTTAAAGAAATAATCTTGCTTTTCTTCAGTGTTGGAAAGATGGCAGCGCTTCCAGTTGCGATGTGGTTTGCCTGGTGCATTCAATCTTACACCGTGGTGCAGTGGGTGAATGGCTGGTGGTGAGCAGTGCAGTATGTGTATGCAGCTCAGGCAAGAGAATTCCAGATAATGGGAAAAAATCTGGAGCACTTGCTGCATTTTGTGCTATTTAAATGCATACTCTGTATCTTAATACTTCAGAAATATTAAGTGCTACTTGAAGTTCCCTATTACAACTGTAGTTGTTTTCCATCAGTATTTTTAAACTGCAGTCAGAACACGGGAAAATGCCTTAAGTACTTGAGGGAGAGAAATAGCTCAGGAAGGAATCACAGAGCCTCTTTCCCATGCCCTCAGGCTTTGCAGGGAGCACTGCTGTCACCCCAGTGCTGCTAGCCTTAAGGAGGCTTTTCAGCAAATAGTCCTGGTCCTGTTAAATTTGTCAGTGTTCACTCAGGTGTTATATTCAGCACACTGTAGGTTCTGACCTGTCTTAACTCTGCTTATTCTGCTGACTGACCCTATGGCTCTGGCCCTTTCACTGAGCTGCTGTTCAATTTCTGACATTCTCCCTCACCTTCACCACTTGTTGCCTTTTTTTGCTTTCTGTCTCTGTCAACCAATTCAGTTCACTTTTTAATGTATTTTCTTCCTTTAGATTTACATAGTATACAAGTGCCTTTCTCATTGCAAGGTCAAATGGTACTTCACTGAGAAGTCAAAATGTGTGGATTGGCTCTTGTCACAACCTTAATTTAACCATCATTTATGTTCCTGGAAGTATTCCATTTTTTATTCATTTCATTTATCTTAATACCTGCATTTAAGCAAAACTTTGACAAATGATAGCAATATGGGGAAGATATTTTAGCACAGTCTTTTGAAAATCATTTTCCTAATATTTGAATTCTAGTCCAGACCAGGCTTAAAATAATAGCATTACAAAATGTCAAACCTGGTAAAGCTATTAAAAAAGAACAGGAGCTTTGACTAATGGCCCATGTATATGGCTTAACATTTAAGTAAAGATTGCATTTCTGACTTGAGCGATGAGAAGACTTCAGCTAAAGCATTTCTCTCCAGCTTCCTGCTGAAGTGTGAGTGCTGTCTGGCTGCAGCTGTGGGAAGAGCTCGGTGCCACACACCTCTGGGCCCTTCCAGCTGTGTCTGAGATGCCACGAGCCCTCTCGGCCGGGCTTTGTGCTCAGGCTGAGCGAGGCTTTGTGCTCAGGCTGAGCTGGCTTCCCGGCCTGGGTACTGGTGGCTGCCAAGCCAGGGACACGCAGGATCGTTCTGACAGGGCCGTGCTCCTAACTGAGAGCACTCAAAACTGAGGATCAAGGGATGCCTCCTCTGCCTTAGCCCAGGAGAGAAGGAGCTGTGGGTGCATTCCCAGACAGAGGTGCAGCTTCACGGCAGTGGGTCCCTCGAAGTCCCAGGGGCTGCAGAGGCTGCACTAACCAACCTTTGGCAGGTGCTGTGCCAGGAAGGGGGTGCCATTCGTGTTGAGTTGATCCTGGGGCTCCTGTGGCAGCCGTGCAGAGTTCTGCAGTCCCTCTGATGCTGGGGACTCTGGATTTGCCCTTCTCCATGGCATGAAGCTGTTCAGCAGGCTCACAGCAGCCTCTGCTCTCAGGAACTCCATTCTGTAGGAGCAGATTCCATGAGGAGAATGCCAGGCACATGTTCAATCTGCCACTTTCTCCTCTAGCCCCAATTCAATAAGATATTCTGGTGACCTCTGTGGTACATCCGGGAGTGCTCCTTCCTGTGGGAGGGAGTATTTGAGGCTGGCAGCCACAGTTTTAATGTTAAAATTGTTTGGATGTGGGCTTGGACCTGGAGCAGAAAATCCACTGCCATTTCACAGCTTTGTTTATTGAATGAAAACCAGGGAATTGACATCACGTATTCAAGAACAAGAAAAATGGGTTAAGAGCAGGGTGTAATTTTTTTTTTATAGTCCCAAGCCTTCCTTTGTTTGCAATTTTAGCTTAATATATTCATGATACCTTGAAACAGGGGTATGCATTGAGATGGGGGTTTGAAATTGCTTTTGTGGTTGTTTCTGGCTTATATAAATGTATATATTCTCTAAAGATCAAAAATGACTGGAAAAGAGGATTTGGAAGAGATTATTCATCAAAATGGTATTTTTTTGCAATACATTGGAGGGAGGGGGAAATAGATATCTTGTGAAAGCAAGAAAGCTGAACAAAACCGAAGTCTGAGACAACAAGCTTGAAATTTCTATTTTTCACTACAATTTCCAATAAGCCACGGGAGTGAAGTATATGCTAACAAAAGTAATGTTAAGTGTTTCAATAAAAATCTCTCCTGCTAGCTGATCACAGAAGCACAAACTCTGTGGTTATTCCATTGATTCTCCTAAGAGATTCCAGGATACTTTTTCAAGAGCAGATCTACTTTTTTTTATACTAGTCATTGAAATATATGGATTTTGTTAAATATTTTCAGGTCTGAATTTTTAATTTTTTATTTGCATATAAAATTTATAAAGTTAGATTATGATAATGCTGTTTCCAGTGTTTCTAAAAGTACTCTTGACGTCTGCCTTGCATGATCTGTCAACTCAAATTATCACATTTGCATCTTTTTTTCTAGAGCCTGTGCAGTTAAAAGCATTTAAATTGTTTGTGTTTTATGATAAAGTTCAAGGGAGAAGATAAGCCAATTTGTTCATGGCAATTTTGAAATCCTGCTTAATACTTTTATTTAAACCCAAAAATATTCTATTAGGATTAAAAGGAAAGTGTGGGAAGAAAATGGCAAATCCCAGTGTAGAAGCTGTAGAAGTCTTGTCAGAGTGCTTGAGAAACTTTCAATGGTCTTGTTTAGTTAAACAAGGAATTAGGAATTTGCTTAGGGAAGACGTGGGCTGGAGCTTGTGTAAAACAGAATCAGAAAGGTCATGGGAGATGACAGCAGGGTTTGGATGTGATTGAAAGTTAAAGGCAATGCAAATGTGGAGAAAGTTATTTCCAGCATTGCTGGGGCCCTGGGAAGGCTTGAAATGGTTCAGTTCATGTCACAGATTCCTCACATCTACACATGTACAAGCATTATTTTGTGGCAGGTGAATATTGTCTGTAGTGATTTGTTACCTTTTAAACAGTAGCAACATAGGAAAGAAAGAAAATATTCGTATTAATCTAAATGGGAAAGTAGAGGAGTGGTGTTCCTCGAGTATTTTGTGTTCATGCTTGAAGTGAATTTTCTTTATTAAAAATGTTTTGTGAGACCGTTTGGAGAAATCTGGAAGAGAATTCTCTGTTAATCCCCAAAAGTGAAGGTTGTGCCATTCTTCTGCAACAAGGTGAATGCTTCTGCAGAAATAACTTGGACAAGAAAAGGATCCAAACCAATGAAAGGCCCAGGATTTTGCCATTTCCCAGCAGTGCCCTGCCTTGTGCTGCAGCAAGAGCTGTCCCATCAGGATGGGCAGCTTGGTGACAGCAGGGATACCTGTCCACAGAAGGGAACAAGGATCTTTAGGAGGGTTACAGAGAAAGATGGGAACTCAAGCAGCACCATGCACCAGCTA